TGACATGCAGAACAAAAAGTGTTTTAGCATTAAAAATGGTTACTTTTCTCTCAGGCAGCTTTCTAAAATATGTGCAGTTTCCTAGACTAAGGGGTGACACATCTTACCCCCATTGATTCTCCTCTGTGTCATTTGTTGATTTCAGGTGAAAGAGCTCTTGGTCAGTGAGGAGTTTAAGCCAAACTGTGCCATGGTGGTTCTGGACTTTCTCATCAGACATGCCATCATTGAGCCAGACTCAGGTTTGTTACACACGGGAGGTCAGAATTTGAGATTAGAACTTGATAGCATGTACTTTTAAATGAAAAGTTTAACATGAGATAAGCTGTGACTTACATTTTTCTCTCATTTCAGAGCCCTATTATCACGAATTTGTGGCTGGATTGCACAGATCACTGTAAAAACTGACTGACGGTGTTAAGACTTGTCAACCTGCAACAGTTTGGTATTTTAGTTATCTACCTCCGCTTTTAAAGGGTAAGTTCACCCAAAAATGAAAATTAGGCTGTGTTTTACTCACCCCTGAGGCATCCTAGGTGTATATGACTTTCTTCTTTCAGACGAATCCAGTCGGAGTTATATTAAAAATTGTCCTGGCTATTCCAAGCAGTGTTGCCAACTTCTTTCAATAGAAAGTAGCTAAAGCCAGTTTGAAAAGTCACTAAATGTCACCAGATGACGTCATACACTAATTAGCATATTCATGACGTCAGCGCGTCTGTTGCCTTTTACATTTGTTTGTCTCTCTGTGCTCACATACTGTACTTTAATGCAGCCAAATTCTCAATAAAACTGTTTTCATTTATATATATTACTGTTTCTGTTGTCAGACAACAGAATAAATATGAAATAGTGACTGAAATGCGGCCCTTTAAGACTACATAACCAGCTCTCCCTTCCAAGACGTTAATCTGCACAAAAATCCTGCTTTATATTTGAGCCATCATCTGATGAAATGAAACGCACATAAGAAAAGACAAGACAAAGACAATTCCTGTGCTGTGATTTCGGCTATATTTGCACGTAAAATTAGAGAAGCAACATAATATCTATTTTAACTTAAGGCGCTGCTCCTCTCAGCCGCTTGCTGTACAGAGCAGACGCAGAGAAAGAGAGGTGTGTGCGCGCTGACCTTGCGCCGTTGCGTCAGTACCAGCGATCACAGAGACTCGCTAAGGTTTGTCCAAGAAGTCGCTAGATTTGTCGCTAGTCGCTTTTTTGGAAAAAAAGTCGCCGGGGGGTCTGAAAAGTCGCTAAATCTAGCGACAAAGTTGCTAAGTTGGCAACACTGTACACAGGTTCTTCAGGATGTCACAAACCCCACCCCCTTCCCGTGAGGCTGCCTCCATTTGCAACACATGCCCACACATCTCTTCCGCTCCCTCATGCTACTAATAACCATTTTTCTTTTCAGTGGCCTCCAGCTCCTGTAGCAAACGCTAGCATAAGGCTGCCTCCACTCGCAACACAGACCATCACATCTCTTTCTTTTCCACCATTTTTTCTCTCACGCTTCTCTCAGTTTCCCACCTCAAACCCCAGAGGCCGATATTAAGCGTGAGGCTGCCTCCGCTGACAATCGCGGCTCCTGCTTCTCTCCCTCACAGCTCTTTACTTCTTATATTCTTATATTCTCTTTTCATTACAACATCACTGCCCGTCCCACCAAATGCTGTTGCCTCGGAGCCACATCCAGTGGCTCACAACATTCGAGGACAGACCCTGGCAGGTGCGGACATAGACCCCTCATCTAAGACCGTCACTAATGATTAATTGGGTAACAGAGTTATCGGTTGATTATCTGATAATTATAATTTATATTTATGGTAGAAAAATAGGCCTAGTTAAACAATAGCCTTTAAAAAGTACCTGAAGT